TAGCGATTTTCTTTTCTTTTCTCTTTTCTACTTTGTTTTCTTATTCCCGTTATCACTCTATTCAGTTAGTTAACCGGTTAGATCCATAACGGTAATCGGTCAGAACCGGTTGGACCGGTAACGGTAATCGGTCAGAACCAGTTGGACCGATAACGGTAACCGTTAAACCGGTTAGACCGGTAACGATTGACCGGTTGTCAACCGTTACCGTTGCATCCCTAATGCTGATACTGATACGGGGTATGTAAACGTATATTAATTAGAAGACATATTTGGGAAAGGTTTTATAATTAGATATGCACCAGTTTTTAACTGGTGCTGTAGCATCCAGGAAAATATCTATACATCGGTTATCAAGATTCGCTCATAGCTGCGAAACATCTCATTTAGTAGAAAAATGTTTTCTCTACCAAAACGACGACAGAGGGCGACTCTAACACGGCTGGAAATCGTAAATATAACACCATGGTTGTTATTAGGTCCGTGCGGACCCACACTTCAGTTTTTTGTATGTAAGACTCATTCACGAGACTTGATTTAGGTAGTGTGTGTAGATAGAAGATTGACGATTATGATAGCGAGCAGTTCGAAAGAGATGAATACTGCCGAGTAAGAAACAAAAAACTTGGATGATGAAACTTGGATGAATAGTGGATCCAACTGGACCCCAAGCAGCTGTCAAGGGTTACATGGGTTGCAATGAACAGATGAATAGTATACACTGAAGAATTGTAATTTTTAAATAAGATTTGTTCATTCGTTATCGTATTAAGATAACGAATGAACAAACTCTAACGGTTAGAGTAATACAGCCGTAAACTTGTAACGCCGATACACGTCGAAAGTCTGACCTTTCTTTTTAAATAATTTTGTTTTCTTTATTAATAGAAAATAATTTCAGTTATTCACAAAGCTCTTCAAATTTTATGCATTCTTCAAGTGTACGTTCATTGGTATCCTGAATAGGTTTTTTAAACATATTTCGTTTTTAAAGATAAAATTTATCGTGAAAAGATGTTGCCACTACGCTCAGCGTAGTCGATTACCTATATCCCATGGCATTTCGAGATTGCCAGATATGTCTGCTCGGGGATAGACATGCGCTCAGGGAAAGCGAGCCCTGTCCGAACGACGATAGTTGGAGAGCTGGGACTTGCTTAATTTAGTAGAGTAACGTCCGGACTATCTACACATGCAAACCAATTACTAACATTGTATGTTAGTTTTCTGAGAACGAAGCTGGTTTTCCAAGGATCATCTGGAAACCCCATCTCTGAAATTTGTTCAAAAGTTGGTTTTGCTTGTGAAAAGTTCCGCTCAAGTCTTAGCTATCGAACAACGAAACTGCAGGTCTTTATCTCATTTGTATTAAAAGTTATTCAAAAAAGTAAGACCGGCATCGTATTTTGAAACAGACAGTAAAATAAACTGAATATGCTCTAAAAAAGATAGCACTTTATCATTGTTGAGCGAAAACGTTCCATAAAGGAATCAATTCCATGTTATGTTTTAGCTGTTCCATGTCGTGTTTTAGTCGGACCATGTATCATAGCTATTTTCCATGGTGTTGTAGAGATGATCTGTTGACATCTCGCTTGCAAATTCTCGTTTCCAGCTGTCAGTTGTGTCATCACAAGATTTCTTCATTTTATTTTCGTCATCCGATGGCCACGGAGCATGATCGATGACATAGCCGACAAGACGGACACAGTCAGTTTCATATTTAAGTGGCTCTTGCATATGAGAATGCCAAATAATGTCGATCTGCGAAGAGAAGATAAACTACTAGGTATTTTTCTTTAGTGTTAAGATTCCTACCGCATATGTTGGATGCACAAAACCATAGCCGTCTGCCGGTGAATATTTGGCTGCCATGTACAAAAATCGTTCGTACGATTTTTTCAATCGCTTGATTGCCGCTGAACTAAGATTAATTCGCTCCGATTCATCACGATAATAGCTGCGAAGAGGAACTTTTAGAACCATTTCGGACATAAATCTTTGGCACAAGTAGAGCCAATTTCCATCAAGGATGATGTCAGCCTCCGTGAACGAGAAGGGATTTTCGAAATTGACAGGAGGATCTAGCGAAAATTTAAAATGTGATCGATCCCAATAGGAGTAGACGGGAATCACGCATTGAAGTGAACCAAAAACGGGATGAATGTATTTCGGAGCAGCTTTTCGCTCCCACTCCGTTGATGGCAATGGACAGTATTGTTCGCCGAATCGTTGTTCGACATGTGTCTAGAAATGCTTGCTCTTTCAGAAATTGTTGAATATCACTTGTTAATAGTGAATGATCGATAACTCGATGAAACAATCGGAGACAATCAGCCCGATACACTTTAGGTCGTAGGAGGTGCGTTTGCCATACGATTTCGATATCCAGTGTAGGAACAAGCAAGATATTTTGTAGACAGGTGGCTTTTAGTTGCATGAATCTATAGTACCTCGTTATCATTTGTTTTGTTATTGCTGATTCACGCCATTCAGCCTGGAAACTGGACGCCTTTTTCAGCAGTGATATGAGTTCACGAGCTGTTTTGTCAACATCAACCGATAATTTGATAGTCCTGCAGATGTAAACAATGGATAATCAAGTGTCCTCTATGAAAACTCTAACATTGCATTTTGATTTAGAATCCAAAAGCAGAAAAATAAAAGAGTTTTTGACTGATGAGGGAACCTTTCGAGATGTCTTCTTCCAACTCCAATGATTTGTACATGGATCGATAGATCTTAGTGAGTCAGTAAATATCTTAAAAGGATTCGTGCCCATGACTCTTGAACACCCGGTTCTGGAAAACGATTTTTTTAAGAACTATAAAAAATAACCAAAATCCTTTTGATAAGGTATGATGGTCGCCCGCAAAGTTTCGATTAAAACGACACATCTCCCAGCTCTATACGAGCTCGTGGCAAAGTTATACAATTTGCAAGAAAAGTCTAATTGTTCCTTGTCAGCTCAAAGCTACAGAAACAAAAGAAACTAAATTTTGGGCTTTTCTTGTAAATTCTATAACTTTGCCAGGAATGGTCGTTTAGAGCTGATAAATGTCTCATTTTAATCAGAAATTTGCGGGCTACGATCATGCCTCATCAAAAAGGACTTTGGTTATTTTTTGAAATTCTTGAAAAACTGGCCCTTCAAGAGTCATAGGCACGAATCCTTTTAGGATGTATACTATCTCACTGAGGTCTATCGATCCATGTACAAATCATTAGAAGTGGAAGGAGACATCTCGAAATGTTCTCTCGTGAGTAATTACTTAAGCCATTCTAATAGAAACCATTGCACAAGTCTTACATGTCTTTTGACGAGTTCGGATGTTGACTAAATCCACCAATTGGTACAAATTCTTGTTTACCTGCCGGTCGAGTAGGATATTGTGGAGGGGCGCATCTCATTCCACAAGCTATTTGTCGAGATCTTACGCGATATCTTTCTTCGACCTCTGCTACTTCTTCATTTCGCAAGTACTTTTCGTGCATCCAATCCATGTAAATTTCTTTGAACGTTTTTGAATGTAACTTTGTTGATGCTATTTCACATTAAAATTAAGATTAAGATGAATAGAAAAAAGAGCAGCACTTACTATTGCATTTTGATATCCAAATTTCATCCTGATCGGCGATCATTTTGAATGATCGGCAAACTAGTGAAACATTTCCCAAATCTCGCACAGAGAATAATCGAAATATGTGTAACGTAACCTCGGCGGGTATGGCATTAAAAACCGACTTTGACAACGCATCTTCCATTTCACTTAGTAACCACGAGTGCTTCCAAGTAACATTGGGCGCAGAACGCTTCGGTTTTCCGGCTTTCTCTGCTTTCACTTCGTCTTCCTCATCGCTACATAACATTCTTTAATAGTGTCTACAAAAGATATCACATCATTATAAGTCAACGTGAATCTAGACATTAAAACATCTTTCTTGTCAACTGTAAACCGTAAGTTACGCTTATTTTTCTGTGTGCTCAAAAGCAGCAGAAAAATAAGACAGACAAATTACCGAGTTTGGAAATTCTTGGTCAACAGCTACAACGGAGAGATGAGAGAAGTTTCTGACCCGGTACACGGTGGGCATTCAGGCGAAAATTTGAGCAAAAATCGACAAGTGAGCTTTTTTGAATTCGAACAGTAGTAAATGTAGTCCTTGAAAAGCGCTATCGAATGGTATATAATGATCGACTAGTAATGAACTCCTTCGATGAGTAAGTTA